GTTTTTTTTTGAAATATATATATATACATGTATTAATTCAACCTTAATCTGAGGTTCTGGACAAGAAAGAGGGTAAGCAGTTGAAATTTCATTCTAAAACTCATCTTTTTTTGTCTTTTCATGGCTTATAATCTATCAAATTTGTAGTTTTCTTTATTGGTTTCGAGTGTTTATCTTAAAACTCAAGTTTCTTGGTTCTTTGCTCTTGGTGTAAATCGAATACATTTGTGGAATCGTTTAAATATGTTGGATTTTAAATATATTAGATTTTAAATTGTCATACAATTTTTTTTCATCGATAGTCTGTAATTGGAACCATAACTCTTATTTATTCATATTGTATTAATATGTAAAGATCAAATGTAACTTATATCATCGTTAAATCTTATCTTATAAAACCAGTGAAACTTCAAAATCGTTAAAATTCATGGCTCCCGTCGCATTACGCGGGTAAACAACTAGTATACAATGAATACATGGTAATAGCACAATTAAATACACTTAAAAAATATGTTTTATTATAATTTTTTAATTGGTTTTCAATCAAATACACTTGTAGAAAGTTAAAAATACATTATTTTGAAAAAATCAGACCAGTCCAGGGTTAGGCCTTGTTTTTTGACAAAAACTGTAACCATACAGCTCCTAATTGATCCCGGACCAGACGGGTCCCAAGTCAGTCCCGGTTCTCTGCCGGTCTTGGGCCGGGCCGAGCTCATTTGGCCATCTCTACCCATATGTATAATAGAGGGTTGAAAGTGATGAAATTACCGACTAAAAAATTTTTAATTCCCTAAATCAAAAGGCGTTAACTATTTATAATAGATGAGTGCAACCATTTTTGCTTTTATGAGATAAATTACCCACTCATAATGCATTTCTTGGAAAAACGACAAAGTTTTCTAGAGTTCAACGAATGAAGTCAAAAATTTATCTAAAACCATGATAATTCATTTCTTAAACATTTAGAGAAAAGTTGTTAATCAAAACTAAATCGACCTACTACTGAAACCCACATATAATCAAAGGTGTTGTGATTTATTAAGTAAAAAAAATTATTACACAAAAGAAGATAACAAGACATTAACGAGAGTGAAATCGGAAGAATAGACGTTATCGACATCTGAGCAATCGTCGTTGTCGTTGCCGTTGCTTCTTAGAGATGTTATGGGAGTTTTGAAGAGAGCAAGTGCAAGTGCAAGGGTTTTAAAAAAGCAACGAACTTTGGTTGTTGACTTGTTTTACTTCTTCTAACTTCTAAGCATTGTTCAGACTTTAGAGTTCATTGATTCAGTTATTCTTCTTCATTCTTGTGCCTATTTTCAATCATAAAACCAAAAGTTATCATAAATAAACACCTAAGATTTAATGATTATGACTAACAAAGTAAGTAATAATATAACATATTATAATTACATCAACTATTGAAATAGAATCCTCATTGTCTCGGTTCCAATTCTCATATTCATCATTTCTGCATATATAAAAACAAATTAAAAAACAATATAAATACACAAATTCAACTATATAATAATTGAATTTGGACGAAGTTGATCGTAGGAAGAAAATAGGTCTTGAAGGATGAAGACGATGGTTTATGGATATCGCTTATGCCGTTATGCAGATTGTGGTTCTGCCTCTGGAATCTGGATAGGATCATAGGACGACGTTCGGACTTCGGACGGTGGGTTTAATGGTTTTAGGCTTTTAGCCTTTTAGCGTTTAGTAATTAGTATGGCCATGCAAAGGAGGTTCGGGTATCGGATGTGTTCGGGCCAGGGTTTTGGATACCCAACCCAAACTCCTTATCGGATGGGTTCGGGCCATAGGTATGTAATTGACAGATTCGCAATTTACAAAGGGGTCAAAGTGTAAGAAAAAAACGAAGTTTCTGAACCAAGTCTGCAATTACAGAAACCAAATATGTAAATTTGGAAAAAACACATCCCCAATTACATGAACCAAATATGTAAATTTGGAAAAACACATCCGCAATTTTTGGACATATTTTTACGGATCTATTAACTAATCTACATATTTAGTCCATGTAATTGTGGGTCTAGCTCAAAAACTTCATTTTCTTACACTTTGACCCCTTCGTAAGTTATGGACCAGTCAATTGCGGACCTATGACTATTTTCATAATTTTGAGAGAGAAATGACTAAGAGATGAAATCTACCTTAAAAAATGACTATTCTAATTAATTTTCTGTTTATAAATATATTTTTTGGTCCCAAAAAAAAATTCAAATACACAAAACCCAAGATCTTAAGGTAAAAAGGTGAATTTTGCCAACAAGATTGGCATTAAATCCAACCGTTTTTGAAGAACAAACTTCAACCAACCCAATTGAAATGACATGTAGACTGACATTGGATACTGGGTATAACAACATTAAGAGGCATATTGTACTTGGTGGAGTGTTATTTTGTACCAACGTACAACATTCATTTAAGTTAGATTATTGATATTTGCATTATTTTCTCGTCTTAAATTTTGTAACGGTCCAAACCCTAAAGCATTCGACCGATTCAATAACGGTGAAATTATTTTCTATGTAGGACAATTTGTTACAAACTCCTCGCTGAACTCTTGACATCCTCGTCATACTTATCCAAAATCCCATCCTTGTAAACGGTGATGTAAATAAAACAATTAACATCCGATTCAACTGTTAGATTTTTTTTTAATACTTGCTTTGTAATGTTCATATACGATATAGAACATGTATCGCATATGACACAAGTGTATTAACATCCGAACATTGCTTAATAAATAAATTTATTAGTTCAAGGTTTTTAGATCTTAGCCACCGTCGGATCTATAGTTTAAATAAAATGTGAGATCAAATCCTAGATTTGACTAAAAAAGTAGGATTTTCCTGTAAAAGTCTTGTAACTATTTGTATTGGTCCAAGAATAAAAAGCCTTCAATAAAATTGAAGACTAGTTGAAGTGACGTCAAGATCGTCATTAAAGTGGATTGGTTTGTCATCTAGCCGAAGGAAGATCAATACAAGATCAAGTCAAATAGCAGTCTGAGACAAGCCAGACTTGGAGTGCAAACTTGTTCACCAACTCTACCAACACCCATTCTTGTATGAGAACAGCTTAGCATGTCAGCCGAAGAAAACACGCTAATCAAACTAAACTATAAAAACTCCTTGTTATTTTTAAAGAAACCGTGCAAGGTAAATACTACTAAATAAAAAAAAGGAGTAATAGATTCGTTCTTTTGTTCTAAAATACTATTTTAATAGTACCATTTATTATTCTCTCTGCATGCAATAAGATGGGTTGAGTTAACAAGTGTCTATATCAACTTCATATGGTGAAAGGAAGAGTACAAACATGCATGATCAACAAATCAGATAAAAACACGCGTTAAATTTGTTAAAGAATGGTGGCTATAAAAGGTCATTCTTGACATATGTTACAACTCACCATTTTGAAAAAATTTATGAGTAATAGTTTCTTAGGAAAAACCAGCTTCACTATTTGAAGAACTATCTAAGTACTTCAGATCTGAAAAAATACCTTTCTAACTCTTTCAGTTAATAGAAAAATTTTCACTAGTCAGATTGTTTAAGATAATAGGTCCTTCCACAATAAATATGAAATTCTGTTATAGTTCAAAATATACAACTAAAAGTGAAAATTTGTTGTGTTCGTATTCAATCCTATAACACCCGAAATTTTGTGTATATATTTCGGGTTTTAAATGCATCTTTGACCTTAGAATAAACCTTGGTTGATATCTTGAATTGGTTAGACTTTATGCTAAATAGTTATGAAAAATCATATTTGGACAGCTTTTCTTTGCGCTAGTGAAGGAGGGCCTTCACTCCCGTAAACCAGTGCAAAACCCAGGGACTAGTCGCATGAAACCTGTAGTCTTTTAAAAATCAGATTCTTAGGCTTTGGGGTTCATTTATGCTTTCTCCAACTCTTCCCCCCCCCTCTCTCTCACACACACACAAATCGGTCCAAGGTCTTTGATATCACCATTTTGAAGAGTTCAAGAGCATTTACAGGATTTAAAACTAGATAATAAAGCTAGTGGATTGAAGCTGAAGATCTTTATCTTCTCCAACCATCTCCTCACCATTAGGAGTGTACACCGGCCGAGTCTGGCAGGTTCAGGTGGGAAACCAAAATCCGATTGGATTTTAGATATGGAAACCAAGACCCGAATTTTAGGTTTCAGATTTCGCATTGCTTCGGGTTCGAGTTGGTTGGGTTTTGGGTTAAGGTCGGTCGGGTTCGAGTATAGTTATAATGCAAAAAGTATATATAAATTCAATCGATTTTGAGGATGAATTCAATCGGTTGAGAGATTGATAAAATCGATAGTAAGTTTAGAAATTAGAATATATTCCAACTGCCTAAAATTTAGGATTTTTAAAAAAAATAGATAAATAAATATATTAATATAATATTTAAAATAAATATATATATATATATATATATATATATATATATTGGGTTTTTGGACGGGTTGGGTGACGAAAGATCAAATCCAACCCGAACCCAAATGTCCCCCAAAAAGTCGAGTTTTGGATTTTCGGATTTCGAGACATCGGGTTTTACACAAACACCTTATTTTCGGTTCGGGTTCGGGTTAGGTTAGGGTTCGGATTTCGGACTATTCAAGTTTTGCACACCCTACTTACCATTGTTAACAGTGTTTTAGGTTTTCCTAGAAACCGATTTCTAAGTTCATCCTAACCCTTTTAAACATTTCATTTTCGTATCCTAGAACTTACCTCTTGACGTATTTTGCATATTTATAGATTTTAACCAATTTGGACATTCTTGATGTTTTTATTCTTTTTGCTAGAAAATAATGGATCATCAAGAATAATTTATAAAAGTGTATTTAAGGCACATAAATGTCTTTTTAGGATTTGAAAATCTTACAATGCAAGTATATTTGATTTTGTTCATCGTTGAGAAAGTTCTATGTAAAATGGTCACAATTTGGAAAAGAGAAGTTACTAGTATTTGGGGGATGAAATGTTTTAAGCATCTTTGTAGATTTGGAGTTTGCTTTCTTAGACGAGGGAATCGTTCCTCTCTAAATAAAAAGAAGCTAGTTCTATTGATAGAGCTTTCACGTCTGCGCATAGAAGACTTTTTTTTSCCTTCCATTCCGTTCTTACCATATCATGGGCAGTTGGGTTGGAATCCGTGTGATGGTTCGAAAGTGCCCTCTAGATTGCTTGGTGGTTTTAGAGAGATTTCTTGGAATGACTTGCTTAGGGATCTCAATCCTCAGCTTTGGGAAGCTAAAGCTTAGGTTTAGAATCTAGGTTTAACTTAACCTAGCAAGATGAGTTCAAATTGCTTTATAAAAACCATGTATATGCCAAATATGTTCATTTTGAAGTATAATGTATTTTTCTTGATAATCATCAATTATTTGGGTTATTTGGTGAACTTTACATGTACAATATATTTGGTTTAATAAATCTTGAAGAATGCATATATTTAGAGCATTTGAGTATTTTGATAAATAAATCATAAGAATGTTCTTTTGATGATTTAGTTCCCTATGGGATTATTTGATATTGACCACTTTTGGTATTTCGATTTTATAAATCATTCGAAAAATATATATGCTTGAGTAGTTGAGCACATCTTGGGTGTCATTGCTTATCTGTAAATGCTTTCTTGAAGTTATATAGTGTGTGTTTTGGGATTTTGTCTGATCTTTGAATCGATATAAAGATGTTCACATCTTTTATGCATAAGTTGTATAAACTTTGGGTAATTGTATTTTTATTGGTTTATACAGACTTTTATTGAATAATCAGTTGAATTGTTGAGTTATTGGCTCTGTTTCGGTTCGGATGAGTCTTAGGAACATTTGTCCAGTTTTATTTGCTCTATATTGAGCTTGATGCGAAACCGGTAATAATGAGTTTTTGAAGAAGTTAAACCATTTTAACTTATAATAAGTTGATAAACACTTTTGTATAAAAATATAAGTTAGTTTCAAATAAACAATTCTAAACACCCCTTAATTAATAAATAAAAATGTATAGACTTTCTAAATCAATTGTAAAACTATTGTTTTGGATATGATTATTTTAGTTCTAATATGATTTCCTTCAAAATGTATTTGTATTCTAAAACATTAACAGACTTGAATGGTACGAGTTGGCGAGAAAAAAAGAAAAATAAATTGACGAATGAGTTCTAAAAAGAGAATAATAATACTTTAATCGAAAGGAAATCATGAGCTTGGTGGCTGGCTAAGAAGTAAGACCTAGCTCACTTGGATTGAGGACAGACAGAGCTAGAATTGAAGCCACCGGAGAAAAGGTCGGCGAGAGCAGCCATGGCTTTAACTTGCATCTCAAGAGCTGCTATATAATCGGTCGTTTCTTCTAATACAACTGGCAACGGTTGTTTCCGGCAGCCGGGAACTAACCGGCCGAGATCACGTGCTTTCTTTTGCACCGCTGCTAAATTCTTCGATTTCAACCTCAAAATACCGACTCTCGGTTTCTTTAATGGGCTATTACCAGTCGCCGTCGCAACCACTCCTCTCTGCCTCAAATTATTCTTCATAAATTTATGCTTGAGTTTGTTTGTGAGAATCGCACGGCTCCATCGACTCCGTCCCTTCACTGTCATCGCAAGGGCACGGTCAGCAGCTTCACGAACAGCACGTCCACGAAACGAAGCCGAATGTGGAGACGCGCCGGCCGCACCGAGCCGGACCTGGCGGATAGCTTGCAAGAGTTTCGACATGTATGCTTCCTGTTGACCTTCCGATTTCCACGACGTAATATGGTTCAGGTTGCTACTGTTGTTATTCAAGTTTTGCGTCACCTGATCTCTACCGCTACTAGATTGCCTTTGCATTTTCTTCTTCTTTCTCCGCTTCGATGAATCACGTGGTCCGTCGGTGTTATAAGTTACCGGATTCGAAATCACCGAAGCCATGGAGGAAAAACCGCTTGCAATCAATAAAATCTTCTGAAGACAGATGAACTTCTATCACTCTACCTAAAAATTCCAATTCGATCATGTTAGGAACAAGACAAATCCTTCCAATCCGCCGATCAACAGTGAACATACAAATTCGTATGGTAGAAACTACAGATTTCATTTCTCTATTACCAAAACGCAACATCTTAACAAAAATCGTGATCGAATCACAGTTCCTTCTGGAAAAAAAACATACAACAGAGTAGATTTTCTACTAAACAATCGAAAAATTTACACGAACGATTACCTTCAAGAAGAACCGCCAATATCAATACTCTTCTTCGAATGAACCGATTCCAATTTACGATGAAAATTGAAGAGAAGTAAACAATATGAAATCTGTGTAGTGCTTAGCGATAGAGAGGAGGGTGAGGAGGGAGATTGTAGGATATAAAATCGGGGAGAAATTACAGAGTAGCACGCTTTGGCCCGTTCTTCTCCGTGTCATTTAAATTTATCGTAATTTTCAATTTTGGCCCTTATACTTTTGAATGTTTACATATAGGTCCCTGTTTTGTTTCTTTTACATTATGGTGGTGGTGGTGACTTGGACCCCATTGCCCCATTTGGTGGCCTAAACTTCTTGTCTCCTTTACTTTGTCTCCATGACTTGTCAAGTGAATCCATAACAACCAATTTCTATTGGTCGATTCATCGTGTATCAAACCACAGATCCAGCTGGTTAGTCAAAAGCTCGAGTTATGGCTTAAAATGTATGTACCTATCTGTTCTTGTTTTGTTGATCGAAATAATTGGCTCATATCCATATTGAGTAGCAAAGTAATTTTTTTTTAAAATTAACCTTAATATCCAACTCGCTATGTGAACCGACTAATCCCAGGACGATCATCAGCTTTGCAGATAATCCGGAGTCACCGCATTTGAACCTCCATGGCCATAAGATGATTTTTATTCCTCCTTGGATTTGAACCTGGGACCTCGTGGTACTTTTGACATTTGGAGTCAAGTTCAAACCAATCAGGCACCACCCTTGTGGTTATCTTCCAAACTTTTAGACTACACACTCGTGGGATGTTACCTTAATTGGTCGTACAAAAAGTGGGCATCGAGATATGTGGTGTAATTACGAATATTGGGTTTGATCCTATTTGGTACATGCAAATATTAGAACACAAATGCAAACTGTATAATGATCACGCACTTGTAATCTCTTATGTATTTGTAACCAAAAACTTTTACCTTGTTTTGATGGTAACGAATTTGAAACCATAAAACCTCGACATCTGTTGTTTATTTATGTTGTCAGTATCATTGCAATCAAAGGTATTTTTCAATTATTTTATAATAAATATATTTTGATAATAGATATTTAAGATAGGTTTAAATAGAATTTAATTGTTATGAAAAGAAAAAAAAAAGAGAATGGTTAAGGTTTGAAGCTTTTGTTTGTGTAGTTAAGGGGGTTGAATCACAAGAATAGAAACCCTAGGAACCAAATTGTAGCCTTTATTTATAGATACAATTAGAAAATAAATAATAACTAAGTCAGAAAGTATCAATTTATTGTTCTAAAAATAGAAATTAATATTATACATTTTATTTATTAAAAATAAAAACAATTTATTACAAGGGTGGTGTTTGATTTGTTTGAGCTTGGACTTCAAAGGTTAAAAGTGCCTGAAGATCCTAAGTTCGAATCCAATTAGGAATAAAAATCCCCTTATGGCCATGGAAGTTCAAGTGCGGTGACTCGAGCTAACCTACAAAGCGGATGGTTATCCTGGGATTAGTCGGCTTGTATAACGGTTCGATATCCACGTTAATCACAAAAAAAATAGATACATTTCCTTTCTAACCACTATGTGCATGTACCTTTGTTTTATGATGGAAGTGTTAGGGGCTGTTTGGCGGTTGCTGAATGGTTTAGTGCAGGATGATTAAGTGGTCAGGATGATTAAGAGACTCTGTATGATTTAGTGTCAGATAGAAAAAAGGTTGTTTGGAAACTGTTCTGAATGAACAGTCTGAATGACATAAAATTACCATTTTACCCCCCAGTCTTGTATTTAATGAAAATTAATGTTTGACAACAGTTCTAAAAGAAATTTCTAAATGAAAAATAGAAAATAATTAATGGTTCAAGCCAATACATAATATTATATCAATCCAAACAAGTATGACAATGTTTGTTCAAGTTTTGGCATAACAAAACATCACATGAAACACAACTTCAAACCCAATATTTTGATTA